CCCCAAAACCCCAAAACCCCAAAACCCCATGGGGCTTAAATTTGAATTATAGAGAGCTTAGATTTATTTGGAGAATAAGTAATAATACAAATACATAGAATGAAGTTGAAATGTAAATAGTTAGGAAAATTTAGAAATCATACAGTTAACTAATCAATATAATTTTTAATTCTATCCGTTAGATCAAAGACCATGCGGCCTTCCGAATTTTAGCTCATTCTGAACATCGTTCCATCATTATTTATCAGAGAGGTGCGTCCAGTATCCTAAATCTTCATAAAGTTTTGCATATTAGACTAGAATGACTCCATTTATTGGTAGCTTTTCTAGCCCATTTTGACTTTCTCGATATATGCAATACCCTTGCTGTTATTTCCTTACATATTTATTGTCACTTTATAGCATTAAGGCAAGTTAATGTTATCTTTAATACTTTGAAGTCCACCAACTAATAAGATATCTTGAGAATTCTAGTGATAGTCGAGGGCGATAGCGTTAAAGAATTAAATGATTATGCTCATGTTACTTTAAATCTTAATCGTATTAAATTATGCACCTAACCCGACTCTATGAAGGTCTAATTGTTCAATATCAGTTTAAAACATCTCGCCTCTTCCCTTTTTTGCTTTTCCAAACATCACATATAAGTACCTATCGCCCAAAATTATACTTGAGGGGCAGATTCTCCCTACTTTTAATTCAGGAAAATCATCTGTGATTTTGAGAGGCGACCCTTTGGCTTAATCTGCTGTAATTACTTCAATCTTTTTAGTAAATTTTCGTTTGTATTCCTCATATCCACCAATAATGAACACCTAGTTTTACCTAACCTGAAAAGTATAGCTTAATCTTGAAGATTTCAATCTTCCCACGACGCAAGTTTCTCCCTCTAGCTCCTCAAGATTATGTTCATCTCTTAATCCTGTGATTCTAAGTCCTGTAATTTCCCTTATTCTGTATTTCTTCGACCATCCTATTTAAAAAAATCTTGGCACCTCAGTTAAGACCCTTATCAATGCAAACTATTCACATTTAAAGTAATCTCCCTTTAACAATCTGTATATCTATTGAACCTAGTTATTTTAATCAAGGCTTATCAATAGTAATCTTCCTTTGTAAATACTCAAGAGACTTTACTAAATTTTATCGAGGGAATGTTCTCTATATTGATAAGTAGCTGTGATAAGTTCATGAGTAGTCTTTTTAAGTTCCTCGTGGTCTTCGAGTTTTACATTACTTGTTGTTTGAGACTCGAAAATGGTGGTTCTACAATCTGAATCTTTTTATTAATTATCTTAGGTGTTCAGTATGAGTGTAGGACTAGGTTGGCTTAGACTCTATCGATAATATAGCTAGTTTGCTGTGCTATTACTATACTGGTACGTTTTTTTCCTTTACTTTTAGCTACCCTTTGGTTTTGTTAATCTGAATGATGTTTTCCTATTTTTCCTTTTTTTATTAGTATTTATGATTATGCTTCTATCTTTTGGCCCGTGGTTGAAAATGTCCAAGTAATCCTCATCATTCTCATCATTTTCATTCTCTTGCTCCTCTTCAACTTCTTCGTCTTGCTGATTAAAGTCTGTCTCAAGAGTGGTTTATTATTAAGATTTCGGAATCCTATCAGTCTGACTTATGAGCTGATTATTTTCAGTATCAGCCTCATATCTATCGATAATATTATTATTTAGTGAGCCCGCGTTTTTTGAGAAAGTACATAACCTTGAATCTTATTCAATGTGTAGCTCTGGCTCATCTCCCTCAGAGAGCATTAGTATCTTCTTTATCTTCTGAACCTTATCATTTCAGAGACCATGTAGTTAACTTTCTATAAGTTTGAGTGCTCCATTGCTGTCATTTTTTCTCAGCTTAAGTACTAATCTTTCCCTTAATTTGATGTTTCTCTTTCTAAAATTATCTACTTAATTCTCGAAAGCATCTTGAAGTAGCGACCTCAATTCCCTAATCTAGATTTCTCTTATTGACTTCAAAGTCATGGATTCCTTTATCATGTTGAAGGAATTTATCTGTTGAAGAATATGATCTTCAGGGCTTTTTTTGGTGAAGCAAGGATGGTTAAAGATGCAATCAACACAAAAGTCTCCACAGCATCTTTTGCATTACATCTTGGGTGAATTTGTCTAATGCTGATGATTTAGCACAAAATCAAGACCTTTAGACTAATGTGACTATTAAATAGGAAAATTCGCCTGATTCATTCTTATATTTAAATTTATATAAATTTTTTTTCATATATTAATATCCATGGATATAGTGACATCTTATAATTTTGTTATAACTTTTTACAAACTCGCAATAGTGAATTAGTTTTACGGGGTTTTGGGGTTTTGGGG